ATCCTTGAAAGCACCTGAATGTGTCACCCATTCCATGAGACATCCACAGTTCTGGCACAGTGATGATATGCCTTATTCTTCTGTATTGAGATCTACATGGGTCAGCAAAAGCCAGCATGACCTCCCTCTCCCCAACTCCTCCAACTTTTTGTGAAGCTTCATTCACCTCCTGTAATGTTCTCTGCAGTGACTGTAATGTGCCTGCTACAGTTACACCATGAATACTTCTTTCATGCTCTGAATTACCTTCTTTGTAGTATCTGTTGGCGTCTTTGATCTCTCTGTTGTTTCTTGAGGTCAGAATCTCAATTAAGGTATTTTCATCAGTTCCAAGCCCCTGATAAAAGTGATTGAATTTTTAGAAATGTTATTCGATAGAGCTAACTTAAGTTTTATAACAGAAATAAGCTGAAAATTGACTTGGCTTTAAAGCCATCACATGGAACAAGAAATAAAAATTAAAAACATTGTGCTTGCATAAAATATTGTTATTTTGGCTCTTTTGGAACAAACTTTTTATCATGTTTGATATACTGGTACCCAAAAGAAGTGCTAAAGGGACAAAACAGTGCACATAAAAGATACAAATGCAAAATCTATGAAGAAAAATACCTCCTGTTTATGTTTTCACCTATGTAAATACATATGTAAACATGATGGCTTTTTATCACTACATTAGCCACCCATTTTCAGAAGGCAGAAAGAATTAATTCTCACAAAAGAATCATGTACAATCCTGAAATTCAGCAGGGATTACCAGGTCTTGTTCACATAACCTGAATTACCAGTATAGATTTAATTTAGAAAATGAGATTAAAATAAAGACAATAAACAAGCTTTGAAATCAAAGTTCAGTGTCACTTACAGGCCCTGACAATTACGCTCTTTAGGAAAGTTTTTCTCTGAAGATGTTACCTTACCTTCATAGAAGCTCTTAGCTCCTCAGCATCAAACTGAGCTGGAGTTTTGAGCAAAGACACAACAACATCTTCTAGGTGGCTTTTCAGAACTTTTTTCAAAGCTTCTTCCAGACTCTGTCAAACAAAGTAAGAAACACACTAAGCTATGAATGGTAAAAATACACCTGCTGTTCAGCTACAGTCCAAAAATTAGTCTGACCTCTGATGAATCTCAGTCTACATCATTTCTTTAGATACTAGAAAGAAATATGAAGCCCAACTTCAAGTTTTTAATTTGTCACCTTTATGTTAACCAAAGTGTCAGGATATTTCAGTAAATATTCAGGGGTATTTTCATAGAATCATAGAACTTTAGGTGTTGGAATGGCCCTTACAAATCATCTAGTCCCAACCCTCCCTGCCATGGACAGGGATACATCCTCACTAGATCAGGTTGCTCAAGGCTTCATCCAGCCTGGTTGCACACCGCCAGGGTCGGGTCAGCCACCATTTCCCTGGGCAACCAGTTCCAGTGTCTCACCATCCTTACCATAAAACACTTTTTTATAATATCTAACCTAAGCTTTCCCTCCTTCAGTTTGAACTCATTACCCCATGTCCTATCATCACAGTTCCTAACAAAGAGACCCTCTTGGGCTCCCTTGTAGGCCCTTCAGATACTGAAAAGTTGCTATGAGGTCTCCATGCAGTCTTCTCTTCTCCAGGCTGAACAGCCCCAACTTCCTCAGCCTGTGTCATAGGAGCTCCAGTCCTCTTATCAACTACTTCATGGTCCACCTCTGGACTTGCTCCAACA